TTGTGCAGCCAAATGAAATTGGGTTGTTCTATGAGTAATCCCCTAGATAAATCTGCAACCCCAGCTCAGTGTTTTGGGGGTTCCTTTTGATTGAACCCAGGGTCACTTAACCACTGAGCCATATCCCCAGCTCTTTTTATTTTTTAAATGTTTGAGACATGGTCTTGCTGAGTTTCTAAGGGCTTCCCAAATTGCTGAGACTGGCCTTGAATTTTGATCCTCTTGCCTCAGTCTTCTGAGCTGCTGGGATTATAGGCATGTGCCACCACTCCCAGAAAATTGGGTGTGAGAGTTAAGAGTTGCTCTTTGGATTCTTTTTCACTCCCTAAATGCTTCTCCTTTAAAAAAGAAATTTTTATAAGATCTCACAGACGTATTATAAGATATGATAGAAATGACACTTATTTAGGGGAAGTATAGCCAAATTCACCAGTTAGTAGTGAATAAAACAACATCCTTGAAAGCTCTCTGAAAAAATATAAACTTTTCAAAGTTTATAGTATAAAAAGCTTACATTGTTCTTCATATTTGGCATATTTTTTGTGCAAAATTCTTGTGTTGAAATTTGTTTTTTTAAAGGAATTACACAATATGAATTAGTAATAATATAACTAAAAAATGAGAGTGGATGGAGGATCATTTATAATCAGCATCAGGAGCACATACTAATCTAAAAAACACTTGATTCTGAGTTTAACTAGAATAGCCTAAAATAAACTTGCATTCCTAGTTGGATTATTACATTTTCATTTAAATATGTTTAATGTTCTTTCTGTTTTCTTTAGGGATAAGTAGTGAAAAAAAATCATTCAGTTCCTGGAACATTATCCAAATTTGTATCTGGCTTAACACATCCAACCTTGCTGTCTTCAGAGGAAGTGAACACATGTTCTATGAGTAATCCCCTAGATAAATCTGCAGCCCAGCAAAGGAGCAATAAGATCAAATTCCAGTGTTTTTTTTTTTTTTTTTTGCACTGAAATGACATTAAATTCAAAAATTACATTAACAGGCTTCCGCCCTTTATGGTTGATAGCAGTCTGGTAGAGACTATTCAGGGGAGGAGATGTGGGAAGTTGACAGTGGTGGTGATGATGATAGTTGGTGAGAGTATACGGAATGGACCCATGATAGCCACTTTGAAAGTTTTTTCCCATTGTAGTCTGCTTTTTTTGTCAGTTCTGCCCCTTGAACATGAATAATAGTAGGTGGTTGTAGCCTTCTCTATATGTTGATGCCAATCAAAAATTTAGGAAAAAATACTCCTGATCCTTTTGGTACCTTTCCTCTTTAATGTTAATAGGTATAGGGTTGGAGGCGCAGCTCAGTGGTAGAGCACTTGCTTAGCATGGTTGAGGTCCTGGGTTTGAACCCCAGCACTGCAAAAAAAAGCAAATGAAAAACCCTAGGGGAGAAACTCAGTTGAGATCTGAAGACTAATTAAAAATACTTTTTTTCCCCCATATAGCTTAAAGAAAAATGAAGCATTCCACTTATTTTAAAAATGGGGAAGTGAGAACATAAAATTCTTTAGCTGAACTCCTGACCTTTGGGGAGAGGATTGTTCCTTGGGTTGTGCCCTTAGTGAACTAGATTACCCTTTGGGCCAAATCTTCAGTGTGTGGTTTTCTAGCCTTGACTCTAATTTAGCCCTTCTCAGCCTCAGCACCATTCATTCACATTTAGGGCTAATCATTCTTTGTTCTAGGAACTGTCCTGTTCATTGTAAGATATTTTAGCAGCATTCCTAGCCTCCACTATATGGCAGTAACAGCCCTCCTACTCCATTTGTCACAACTAAAAACGTCTCCAGATACTGTGAAGGGGGAGGGAACAGCTCTATGGGATCCCCTGCCTCTGCTTTGAGAATCATTGCTTTTGGTGGGCATTTGTTGATAAAGAATATTTTCCAAGTTTTAGTTTTATTTTTAAGCGTTTTGTCCTGTTGCAAGTATTTTGGTATAACAGACTTTAGTTTTAAGAACTGTAAAAATAACCTAGGAACACATTGCTACTTTGGAAGTGAAAGTGAGGACAGGGTCTTTCCTTGATTTGAGAATTAAACATTATGACCTTTGAGTGCTTGAGGACAGTGTTTTTCAGACTGCAGGTGGGGACCCATTTGTGTGTTATGAAATCATTTTGTGGGTCGGGACTATGTATGTTAAAGTGCATAGGGCCATAGCATAAAATGTTATTTCTTACTTTGGAATAACAAAAACATATGAAGCTAATGGCTTAGTGCATACGCCCAACCTTCTCTTTCAAATGGGAATATTCTAAACATATGAGCCTATAGTAGTATGTGTCAATTAAGCCATTTATCTAGTCAGATTAAACTTATCAAATATTCCTTGAAATATGAAACATTCAGATCTATTCATTCATCTATTCATTGAAACATTCATCTATTCATTGTAGTGGGTTAGAGACTCGTCTTTGGTTTCTGGTGCATATTGTTATTCTTACAAGATGAGGAAGCACTGAACTCCATCACATATTTTAGAACATTCTTGGCACATTACTTGTGGACTGTTCATGCCCTCTCTTCCCCTAAACAAGATTCTGCAAAAAGACAGCTCCATTTTAATTGTCCTATTCATCAGCATGCATACAAAAGTTCTGTTTACATCAGCTGGTATTTATTTTTAACATTTGTAGAAATTGGTTTTATGATAGAAAGGGCAAGAAATGTTGTTTTGAAAATCAAATATAAACAGGAGCATAAAGCCATCTAAAAATTACTTCTAACATTCTGCTTGTACTTTTTTTTTTTTTTTGCAAAAGCTTATTTTTGAATAAACATAGATTGAAATTAGGGAATACATTAAATGAGATGATTTGTCATTATAATGTGATAGTTCCAGCTGTTCAGAGGTGATTCTTGACTTTGTGAGATTTATCAACACATTCAATTGCTGAAAAAGCTGCCTTAGCTTCTGTTTATGAGGAAAAAAACACCTATTTTGAGTGATTTTATTTATTGTGTGGTTTTTTTTTGAAGATTGGAACACTTTCAGTAAGCATATTTTCATTTGCTGAGTAGTAAAAAAAACATTTTAAACTAGTTTTATCTTCTTGAAAGTTCTGTGTTAGGATCATTGTTTTTTCTCTTTAAGGAAAAATGTTAATGATTGTTCAAAAGATTTTTTGTATTTCAATTTATTTTCACAGTGGAGGCTTTTATCTTATGTTTTTAATATAGTTGATATTCAGCAGAGATAGTGTTTTCATGATAGTTTTAGGAGAAATTTGTGGGGTTTTATTTTTTTCATTGTCTAAACATCCTAACTTTTATGTTTGTGAAAGATCAGTGGGTATGGTGCACAATAAACCACATTTATTTCATTCTGCCCTTGTATATATTTATATTATTGAGTTACTGTGCCTAGTTCTTATGTGTGAAATGAAAGCAAGTGTAGAAGGTAGCTGAGGTTTTATATAAGAGATACTTGAAAACAGATATCTAGTATTAGTCTTTTAAAAGTACACTAAGGAGCAATAAAAATATGAATTCGGAAATATAATTTCTTTATAAGCAGAGGATATGAGTTTTTAAGTATTGTCATAAGAATTTAGGTGCAGAAGCTGGATGTGGTAGTATACACCTGTAATCCCAGCATCACTGGTGGCTGAGGTATGAGCATCGAAAGTTTGGGACCAGCCTTAGCAATTTAGCAACACCCTGTCTCAAAATAAGTAAGGGGGACTTTGGATGTAACTCAGTGTTATAATAAACTTAATCATAAAGTGCTCCTGGGTTTGATCCCTAATACTAAAGTAGGGAGGGGTGCAGAATTTAGGTGTGTATTTGTCAGCACTATACTGTTCTTAAAAACAATAAATCAAGATAATAGAAAATTTTGGTACAGCCATTTTAGTCCATAGTTAAGACCCTAGCAGTGTTATTTTATTCTTCTTCTTTTTTTTTTTTTTTTAAACGGGATTTGAATTCAGGGCTTTGCTAATGCAAGGCAGACACTTTGCCACTGAGCTATATCCCAGCCCCAGTGTTACTTTTAATCTACTTTTTGTGTAATTCCAAAAGGTGATTTTAAATAACTCTAAAATTTTAAAGAAGAAAATGCTATTATTTTAAAAGGATACATTCGTTATCCTACTATAAATTCATTTGAATGTGATTGTTAATGTTAAACAGTGCACTTGGAGTTGTGGCTGAAACTTCTAAGTGAACATTTAATTAATGCCTCCTTCTGGATTCTGAGTAAAAAAAAAAATAATAAACTTTATCATAAAGTGGAGAATGCAAATATTTCATCCTTACAAATAGTATGCTATGTTGCCTAAGTTTTTTACATCCAGTTTCTAAAGAAATTTCTGGAGCAAATAATACCTCTACCAAAGTATAAAAATCACTTTTCCTAGTTTCCAAAAAAAATCATTTAACTTTAACTTCCTTCTCATTTGATAAATAAAAAAGACTTTGGGGGAGGGGCTACCAAACAGTCAAATTTCAATATAATATAAATTAAACTTCATTAAATATTGCTTTAATGCCTTCAGAAAGGGATGGCTTGCAGTCTGTAATATAATCAATAATCTACATAATCTTTATATATTAATTTTTTTAGAAATGATTTTGGCAACTTGAGATGTTTATGATTGAAGCTGATTAAATATTTTGATTTTTTACATTTACTTTGAACAAGTTCTATGAATTAATATTCTTTTGAAGTTTGAATTTATTATCGTGTTTGTATATTTAACTATTGCTATGTTGTGTTTACTTTTTATTTTGCTCAGATTAAAGAATTCTTTGAATTTATAAATTGTATTGATGATCATTAATTATTTTGACCAAATTTGACCTCTCTTGGCTCCTATGAGTGGATATGCTAGGTAGTATGTCATCTGTTGTATCTTCTGTTAAAGTATTGGTAGTATAATATATCTAACGTCATACATAGTTTTAAATCTTCACATGACTGAAGACATGAAAGATGTGAGAACAATTTCTTTCTTTTTTTTTTTTTTTAAAGGTGATGGATGTGGACATACCGTATTAGGCCCTGAGAGTGGAACCCTTACATCCATAAACTACCCACAGACCTATCCCAATAGCACTGTTTGTGAATGGGAGATTCGTGTAAAGATAGGAGAAAGAATTCGCATCAAATTTGGTGATTTTGATATTGAAGATTCTGATTTTTGTCACTTTAATTACTTGAGGATTTATAACGGAATTGGTGTCAGCAGAACGGAAATAGGTAGGACGTTCTTAAAAATGTATTTTATACTATTTCTTCAAGTTTTAAAATTAAAGTAGTTTTTATATTCAACATTGAATAATTATGCTACATAATATGATATGTAAAAAATTATTAAAAATGTGTAGAAATCTAAACTTTGAATCTTCTTTTGGTAAGGGAAGGTTCTTGTTTATTTACTTTCCTAATAAGCCTATGTTGGTACCTTTGCATAAGATGCTATTGTACTACTTCTAAGAAGGAAGAGGTTAATTGTCTCATTTTTTATGTTTTCTTTGATCATTTCATTTACAGTTGAAACATATAAGCATAATTCATGCTTAGGTGAATAAGAGCACGGATGGGTTTTAGATGAAGCTTCTTGAAGCTTGACACTGCTGTTAGCTTGCTGTGTGACCTTGGGCAGATTTTCTGATCTATTTTCTCACTTGCAAAATAGGAAACAAACTAGTATGTGTAAATGTGTTTAGAATAACACTTGACAGATGTTTAGTAAATAGCTGCTGTCATTGTTCCTTAAAAGCAGTGGTTCTCTAACTCGATGTTATTATAAAAACTTTCCAGGAAAATCTACTTTGCAGACAGGATTTAGAACCTTCACCATTTTCTGAAGCAATAAGGGGAAAATTTTGTAAGGCTGTCTTGGTGAACTAACATTATGAAATTAGAACTTTTGAATTCTCTGGGAGTTTATCTGGAAACATTTACTAGTTCCAGTATGTAAAGTATCTTTCAGAACTATAGTAGGAAACCAGAATCTTGTTAAGTACCATACTGTGGTTGTCATCTGACTTCTCCATCACTGCCCAAATTTTTCACCTCTCCTCTGCTTTTTGGCCTCTTATCCCCTAGAGGAAAAACTCTTGCCCCCATTTGCTTGTTGATGATTGGTAAACTCTGTTGCCTTTCAGTCAACTCTTAATTAATCTGGTAGCTTGGTCACTACCTACATAATTCTAGCTGTATGGTGCTGGGTGAATTCTCAGGAGCTGAAATTGCCTGAGAATGTAGAAATACTGTGACTTTAACATTAGAAGACAACTGGATAGTATGTACCTGCCAAGGATGCAGTCAGGACAGAGCACTACCTGGGCGGTCTCAACAGGTTATAAAGAAAGATGAGGCCTGACCTGGGCAAACCTCTAGCACTTTACAGGAAATAAAGGAGATGGAGAAATACATTATGCTGACCATAAGGACTAAATTTAAAATTGGAGAAATTTTGTAAAAGAAATGACCTAGTTTCTTCAATATATAATTGGCATTTAAAAAATGGAAAGCAGAGGAAAGAGAGGGAACTCTGTAAATTGATATGTACCTTCCAAAAGTATGGGTGAGCCTTGTTTGAATCTTTTTTTTTTTTTTTT